TTATTATTATTATTATTATTATTATTATTATTATTATTATTACTGCAAAGGCTGAGAGCTGCTCGTATTATTATTATTATTATTATTATTATTATTATTATTATTGCTGCTGCTACTACTACTACTACTACTACTACTACCACTACCTCAAAGGCTGTACAGCCATCTGTCAGGGGTGTTTTGATTGTGCGTGAAGGCAGAAGGGGGTTGGACTACATGGCCCACAATGCTGTTGCTGCTTCTGTTGTTATTACTGTTGTTGGCTGGCCTTGGCTCCCGTTCCGTTGTTTGCCGCCTTGGAGACATCCTTAGCACTCAGAAGCAGGAGAAGGAGATGACGATGACGACGGCAGAGTTTTGGAGCACGAGACTCCTGACCTCACAATCAGGGAAAGAACCAAGTATGGGTCATCGATGTCGCAATCCCAGGCGACGAGAGCAGGACTGAAGGGGAGGAACGGGAAAAGCTGACACGATGATATGAGGATTTCAAGGTCGAACTGCAAAGACTCTGGCACAAGCCAGTCAAGGGGGTCCCAGTGGTGATGGGCACACTGGGTGCAGTGCCTCAAGACCTTGGCCTGCACTTAAACACAATTGTCACTGACAAAATCCCTGTCTGCCACCCGACTGAGATCTGCATGCACCATTCACCGATACATCACTGAGTCCTAGGCACTTGGGAAGTGCCCGACGTGGGATCCAATTCCACAGCCAGAAGAGTGGCCTTGTCTCCTGTGGACCCATCTTGTTGTGTCTCTAATAATAATAATAATAATAATAATAATACAGACAACCCCCAAATTACAACCAAGATTGGCTCTGTAAATTTGTTCTTAAGTTGGAACAGGGATATTTTTAAAGAGTAGCTCTAGCCACATATGTAATAGAATAGAATAATAATAATAATAATAATAATAATAATAGAGTTAAAATAACAATTGTAATAATTTCACAATTGTAATTAAAATAACATGAACGACAGAGTAAAATAATAAATAACTTTAACTCAAGTATAAGCGGGGGGGGAGGGGGTTGCAGGTTTTAAAAGGGCTGAAAAATCCGTCTTAAACTCGAGTATATACAGTACACCCTAATTTTGAAGAAGTCACTTAGTTAAAAAAGAAGGTTAGCATTAGATTTGAGGAAATAGGGTATTTTGTGGTTCCCATAAATAGGTGTTGGTCGGCAACTGTGTGAGAGGAACGTATCATAATACTAATCTATATATATATATATAAATGTTCATGTCGTCGTGAGTGGCTTAAAAACAAAAGAACCGCTGGGCCAATACCCACCAAATTTGGCAACAAAACTCCTCACCATACAAGGTGTGACCAACAATAATAAACAATAACAAAAAACCAAAAAGGACGTATAAATCCTTAATAAAAGGAGAACCCATCACAGCGTCCGACCTTTCCTTTCCATTCTTCCCTCCTTCCCGTTATCTTCTGCCCATCCTTACTTCCTTCCTTCCTTCCTTCCTTCTGCTCTCTCCTGCCCTTTCTTTCTTTCTTTCTTTCTTTCTTTCTTTCCTTCCTTCCTTCCTTCCTTCCTTCCTTCCTTCCTTCCT